ACACGAGCACATGATATTATTGAGACAGGGCGGTACTCAAACTTCCAAAGGGCTATAACTTTGTTACTTTAATTTTACCAGAAAAATGGTAAAGGAAAAAAACATTTCTTTTGATCAGATCTACTCACTGTTAAAATAAATGACTCAACTTCGAAGTCACCCTGTATATATCTTCACCTTCTACTCAGATAGCTTGATACAATCTATCTTTTTTATGAAGCTTTAATTTGCATAATCATTGACGAGGAAAATCCAGCCAATCTTAGTAGCTCTTTCCTATTTATCCCTAGATCAGAGCTTCTGTTGCGTAGGAGTCCTCAGTACGTATGGCTATTAGGTCATAATGCTTCCTATTTTGGACCCTAAAGATTACAATTGCAACAGCTGAGAGAAGCTTTTCGAAACCAAATGTGATTAAATTTTTATAAACCACCAAAATGTATGGGTTAATAAAATATTATTCGACGCCGAGACACTGCACTATAAAAAAATTATCTATCTCTCAGACTTAGTAGGTACTGTTTTCAAAGGCAGAAAATCTGGAGACACTAAAATCGTCTTCAGCTGTGGATGATTCAATGAAAAACTTTTCCGAAAAAAAAAATAGTGTCAAGTAGATTGGCACCGAACATAAACATTGAAAATCCTTGACGCACAAATGCTGTGTGAGTATCATTATTTTTGTGTAAGTTAAAGATAAGCTTTGCCAAAGAATCAAACTTTTTTACCCCTATTATAATGTTTTAAACCACGCTAGATAATCTGAAGTAATTTCCAGAAAAAATATTTGTACCCAAAGGTTTTCAGTAAGTCGATATACTGACATTCAAACGATTTTCAAAAATGAAGTAGCATTATCTACTATGACCCCACAACATGCTGCTCTCTAAATTTCATCTAAATTGATGCACCCGTGTCCAAGATTACGCGAGTGAAATAACGCCAACACACAAACGGATCGACATACAGGACCTGCGAAAATAAGTCAAACATAAAAAACCTGTCGAAATAAGACAGCATGAAATACCATCTATTACCAGAATCGACCACTGCAAGAGTGAAAACAGCAAGCTATCTGTTGCAGGTGTATCCCAGTTGACATTGTCAGCTGGGTCACCACTAGGATTGTTGCTCAGCTTTCATCCATTGTCATACCATACCTGACGCCACTCCTAAATCATCCTGAGGAGCCGCCAAATAGCATGAAATAGCTGTCCATGGTTGGCCGTATGTGGTCGGACGAATGAAAGCTATATTACTAATAAATAAAACCTGTTATTTGATAATCTAACATGTTCGCGGTTATAGTACCTGCCTGCCTTATGCGCGGGAAGTAAAGAACAATAAAGTGTATACCTATTTGTTGCTTGCCCAATGGGTAATTGTAGAATTGAATACTTAGTCAATAGGTAACTACAATCTATTTATATTATTCAATGCAAACGTTTTTGTTTATTTTGTGAAAAATGTTTACCTCGTATTTTACCCACTATTTGAGCTCGTCACAATTGGGTGCTAGCTGCCCACTATTTATAATACCCTATACCAACCAATCATCCGTTGATGTTATCAAGATTTCAAGAGCTGTTCTACAACAATTCTAGACACACGTGCTGAACGTCGCTGACCTCTGTCCTTTCATTGTCTGCCAAATATTTTCGTCCGCATTGAGGTTGGACCTTGAGTGAACATCCTCATTATCTGGTTTATTTTGTATAATGTACACCACAAATCACACTCGTCCCACGTACTAATTAATCTTGTCTGGATATTATCCATAATATCATCTATAATCACTGAAAGCATACTTCAGAGAAACTTGTGCTAAAAATAAAAAGTAAATATTTATAAGACTTCGTCGCCAAACATGCAACGAACATGAATAAATTTAGCTCCTTCCGTTATTCTGTCCCGTAGCTCAGCTAAATTTTCGATTGGCTTTGAGTAAACTTTTTCTTTCACCGCTCCTCAGTCAAAAAATCGAGTGGATTTAAGTCAGGTGAACGCGCTAACGACGAAATTGTACCAGACCGCCATATCCATCTGCTTGGGTATTGCGCATCAAGATATTCTCTAACCGAACGGGCATAGTGCAGCCGTCTTGCTGGTACCACATGTCTCTGTGAATGCTTAGTGGCACGTCTTCCAATAAATTTTATAAAAACTCCAAATTAATTTCGCCATTCAAGGTTACAATTATTCTCTCATTTAGAATCCATGTTGACTTTAAAACGATGCTGTATGATCTAACTTATCTCATCAAATGTGGAATTTGTTGTGTAGATTCAGGTAACCATCTTTTTAAAAGTCGACTCATCAGTACATAAAATTTTCTCTAACATTGTTTCACAAAACTCAACTCTGAGAAGATAATCGCGGGGTTGTACAGATAGTACTCGTTATACGTGGTACGGGTAGAACTTCGGTGGGCTGTACTTTTGGGCACTCCAGTGCTTGCTATTTGACGTACTGAAGTATTCGGGTCTTCTTCGACTGCTTGTACTACGACGTCCTTGTAAGGAAATGAAATTATTCCTTCACCGTTTGATCGATACGGGAACCGTCCCTCTGAGAGCAAACTGTACACATTCACTAAAACTGGGTGATCGGGATGACGAGCGGCATTTAGGTACCTCTCACGATAAAGCCTAGCTGCAGCACTAGCATTACATCTACGAGCCCCTTCCCACTTCAACATTTGTACCAAAATATGCCTTTATAAACTAAACATGACGAAACTATTTACTTCTAAAACAATATTTTCTCAAAAACATTTTAGATACACTCTAGTCGTAAAAAATACATATTTGAAATCACTTAGACCTATAACTAATAGAACATCTGAACAAATAAACAATGTGCGAATAAATGCGCGAAGTTAAGAAAGCAACAATTGAAAGATTACCATTGGGTAACATCACCTTTATTTTTTATTACGGCTGAAATTCTTTGGGGCATAGTGTTAACCAAGATTTGGGATTGAAGCTTTTGTCTCAGTTCGGTGATTGTACAAGCAGTATGTTGTCGTAGAACCGTTTTCATCTCGTGCCACAAAGTTTCAATAGGTGACAGATCTGGACTGCTAGAAACCCATTTCAAAAGTGGTACATTATTTTCTTCCATCCATTTTATAGCCTTTTTTGAGGTATGGCACGCTGCACTATCTTGCTGAAACACAAATTCTTGGCCGAATGTAAAACATTCTTCCATCACTGGTAAAAGCGATTCTTTTAAAATTGCCAAATATTTGTTTGTATCCACATTTCCATCAATAAAATGAAGTTTTCCTACTCCTTTTGATAACATACTGCCCAGGACCATAATGGATGCTGGAAATTTCACTTTTCTCTTCAGTCAACATGGAATGCTTCATTTTTTTGCGAATAACTTTACTGCGACTGTCACCAATACAAACTTCGAATCGGGCCTCATCACTCCATTGTATTGCACACCATTGTTGAGGTGTCCATTGTATATGTTCTTTAACCCATCTAAGCCGATTTTTCTTTTACAGTGGAGTTAATAGTGGCTTTTCTTTCGCCTATAAACAAGTTGTGCAACTTTAGGGTTTTTACTTCACTTTTTTTTATAAGAAAACTTACCTTGCAAGTGCTAAATCCCCGTTTGTGGGCCTCTCTATGAGTTGTGGACCTCAAAATTCTCCTTCCAACAGCGTCACTCCACAGAGCACTTAATTGTAAATAATTGGCACGCCTGTTTTTCACGATTATTCTTCTTAATGCTCTTCGGTCGGCATTTGTGATATTACTTTTTTCCACATATAGTGGCGTAATATTAACTGTACCAGTTACGTTATATCTTCTAACAATATTTCTCACACTGTACCGCGATAAGTCTAACAAAGTTGCAATTTCTGAGTTTTATTTCCCAGAATTAAAAAAATTAATTATCGGTAACCGAATTTTCTCACTAATAACCTTTCCTCTACCCATTTTGAAAACCTTAACTACCCAAAACTATTTTAAACCTATTCTGACAGCTGGGATTAATAAAAACAATTGTGATGGCTTTTATTTTTCACAGCCACCTATGCGTTATAGACTTATTTTGCATTGAAATGAAAATAGGTTGATATGCTGTAATTGCAACATGTGTTATTTTTATGCTGCAAATTTGATTAGGGAGTGATAAAGTTGGTGTTTTCTACTATATATTATCAAAATATTCATTGTTAATATTTTAAACTTATAACACCCTTCTACATTTTTATTATTTGTTTTTGATAAGAAAAAAATAAGATTTCAATAGTTGGACCAACTGAAGTGGGAAGGGGCTCGTACATCCCCATAAATGAGGGCATGTTGGCGTATTCATGTACGGTGTATCCTGTACATCCTGTATATCTTCGATGTACGCATCCGGACAACTCAACGAGCGCACGAGTCTGTGCTTTTGATGGTAAAGAATGACTGGGAATGACTGAGCGTTGATGCGTAGCTGGATGATCGGTACTGTCGCTAGGGCAGTAGGCTAGATCGCATTCTTGGACTATATGTAGACTGATTGTATGATCCAGTTAACTCCTTTGTTATACATGTTCGTAGACAATATCTTTCTCAGAGGCACTAACTTGTGCCGAATGTACTCCCTTATCAGTGTATAACAGCGGTGCGTCGGAAGTGCACGGTCAACCTACTTAACTTCAATTTTTTTTTATGACACATCAAAAAATGCCCTGGCATGTACCAGAAACTGATAACTCCTGTTATAATAACTCACTACTTTCACCACGGCAATATGTTTGTCATGAATTCTTTCATTATAGAGTAGTATAGCAAAATGTTTACGATTATATTATGATTATTGTCAGCAATTGTTGTTTGGGTTAGATATTGAATGTACTCGTATAGTAGCATTAGTCATAACGAGATAAGAAAAGCATGCATGTAAAACAATGGTAAATAGATTACAATAAAACATTAATGCAAATAACTCTTGTACATGAGTAGCTAATATCTTGATGAGCAGTGAAATTTCTTAGAAAAACAGATAATAGCAGTTTATATTTTCCAACTGAGGAAACAGGAAACTATTTGCTTAAACTTTTTTATCAATTATTTTTTTATTTAACATCATTAGTTTTCATCCCAAATTTTTTTAAATAGATTTAACTCGTACTAAAATAATGATGACATGTGACATCCGTTCAGTATAGGTGTAGTATTGGCAATTAGGGCATATTTATGCTTTTTGGCGGTCCCTTGGCAACAGATAATGCAATTTATGACTTATTTTTACACCCGACCGAACCTACCTAACTCCCTGATAAATGTTCAGAATGCCTAATCGTTTTACTCAATATGACTCCTGCCAAATACCTCGTGTGATTCGCACATTCACCAAGGAAGAAGTTTACTATCTTGTCCTTCCAGCACGTAGAGCAGATAGATTTTTCCTACACTTTGATGAGGAACAGATCTTGATTCAGTATGCAATTGTCGGTGAGTGTATCCACCAAGATGATAAACGATTAAATCTAAGATCAATGTTACCCCTAAAGGTCAAATGGAGGTAAAATATGTGAGGCGAAAATTTCTAGAAGCTTAGTATGTTCCTGATGAAAAAAATTGTTAAGGACAAGTTTTTGATCATGTTTAACAAGGATTTGGTGACTTTGGATCCGACCTTGATCCCTACCTTCAAGGTCATTTCCAAATCCTTGGTAAAAGTTACTAAAGGTCTGACCAGGGCAGGGTTCAGACCTTGTTTCTTTCCATCAATAATCCTGCTAGCAATTTTTCCTAGCCTCACGGATTTGACCTTCGTTCAGACCGTCATTTGACCTTTAGGAATCACCTTGATCTTTGATTTTAATACGAATTCGAAGGTTGAACGTTCCGTTTTTTTCCATTGCCGGTGCTGAAGAGGGGACCTTTCATCAAAAAAACAAATGAAACAACCACGAAAGTGAGGATCAAGGTCAAGTCCGAGTTTAATATTGAAATATGTTCAAAGTTATTGAAGATCTTACCAGCGCAGGGGTCCGACCTTGATTTTTTCCACCGCAATTTTCACTAGGCTCTTAGATTTGACCTTCCTTCGGACCTTCAGCGACCTTGAACTTTGTTTTAATACGCATGTAGAATGTTCCATTCTTTCCATTGCCGGTGTCAAATAGAGGACTTTCCATTCCAAAAAACAAAAGCTGACCTTGAAATAAGATTGAAAGTGAGGCTCAAGGTCAAGTCTGAGGTCAATGTTGAAATCCTGTTGAAGGTCTGACCAGGGCAACGGTCCGACCTTGATTTTTTCCATCCACAATTTTCCTAGCCTCGTAGATTTGAACTCGGTTTGGACCTTCAGTTGACCTCTGGAAGCAAACTTGAACTTTGATTTTATTACTCATTCGGATGTAGAATGTTCCGTTATTTCCATTGCCGATGTCAGATAGAGGACTTTCCATTCAAAAAAGCAAAGGCTGGTCCTAAGAGTGAGGGTCAAGGTTTAGTCCAAGGTCACTACTGAACACCATGTTTAAATTTAGTAAAGATCTGGCCTTGAGCTTTTTTCGTTCCGTTAATTTTGTTACACCAGATAGATGCCAGTTTGACCCATATTCACTTGTTTGAAAAGGGGGTATAATGTTACCAACTACCAACTGTTCTCTGTATGACCGATTCACAGTCTAACTTATGTAACGTAGACACTGATAATTTTTTAATCTTTTCAGTAAACGGCCTAACATGCTACAACTGCGACTCCAAAAACAACGCTCTGTGTTCCTACGGCTTCACATCACTGACTTACGCCTCACAAGAGTGCTCTAGCGCAGGATTCATCGACAACATCATCAGCCCTAAATGCTACAAAATCACTGCTGAAGGTAAATATGCAATCAATGCCACGAACTTACTGTCCAGTATCGGAGGTGGGTAAATCTGGTAAACATATGACTACAAGCTTGGCATCGGAGTTTTTAGACCTAAAATAAGGGAGGTTGATTCTTAAAATGAGGAAATAGAATAAATGAGAGAAAATGGGCGTGCTTCTCTCACCTGTGGGGGAACTGTATTCCAGAATATTGATGTCATTCTCGGGAGAAAAAGTGTGGAAGTCTCACCTTTAGAGGTGAAGTAAACTTTGTGAAGAAACGTTTAACGACATAAAGAACCCAGGAACGTTATTTTGCCGAAAATGGATGCATTCACAAACCTGTTTGACAAATGACAGAACTTCGGATCATAAACCAGAGATGAGAACCACGCCCACCTTCTCTTAGTGATTCTACTCCTTTGTTTACAAGAATAAGTGTCGTGCCGGCATTCTAACTTCGGGTCTTATTTTACAATGTTCACAGGCTCGCATAGTCTACGTATCTCTCTCTCTATATATATATATATACAGGGTGAATGGAAATTCGACCTATTCCCTGAAAGTGGTGATTCTAGAGGTTATTTGTGATAAATTAATCCAAATCAACTGGGGGTCGGAAATGAGCGGTTTCCAAGATATCGGCTTTTCAAGATTTTTTGAGAAATTTCTGCTTACTTAAACGAGTCAGTTTGACATGTAGAAATACGATGCATTTTATTCCGAGAAAGCTGTTCTGTGAAAATTGGATTTACGAAATCTACTACTTCTAAGATTTGTATGGTTTTGGAAAGCTCATGAAATTCTGCAATTATTTTAGTAATCTGTATGCCGAATATCATACATTTTATTTCAAATAACTTATGATGATTTTCGGAAATAATAAACAAAAATCAAAATCTCTTCACTAACAGCCTTTTATTTCTAACAGTTTTAAACATTTGGTATAGCGTTGTATCTCAATTATTTGCTAGTTTCACAGCTTTCGGAAAACCATCAATTCAGTTCCAAGAAATAAGTAGATATTTAAAAAAAAATGTATTGATCAATAAGCAGAAACTCCTTAAAAAATCTGGAAATGCCGATATCTCGGAAACCGCTCATTTCCGACCCCTAGTTGATGGGAATTAATTTATCACAAATAACCTCTAGAATCACCACTTTCAGGGAATAGGTCGAATTTCCAATCACCCTGTATATATATAGTACAATATTCATAATTAATTCGGTAGGAGAAAGTATCCTTGTAATTTCTTTGGGACGAAGGAAAACTTTTGCAAACTACCCTCTTTTAACTTAAACTCAAGCTTTCGACGGTCTATGCCATCATCATCAGGAGCTAAAAACAAAATTTTGGAAAATAGCAACAATAAACAATTAATAAGGAGTATCATTACTTACTAGGTCGGCGAGATTGTTGTTGAAATTGTTCTTAGACGACGTAGAAGAGAACACATAGTCAACTAACAACAAACTGGATTGTCGAGATTAAATTAGGAAGAATTTTTATTTATTACATATTGGTAAAACCATAGCTATGTTTTTCTCAAAAAAACACTAACTGATTTAGAAGAATTAGAAGATTAATTAACTATTGAAAATTCTTTATATGTATATATAAAGAAATATATATATATATATACATACAGAGAGAGAGAGAGAGATACCAGTTCTACAATATATAGAGAAATATTAAATCTAATACTAATTAAAAAAATGGAACAGCAAAAAAAGGTGTGAGGTCCTATAGCCTATACAATGCTGGTTATAGACCTTTTCGATTTCAGTGTGTCCGAGAAGCCAAACAGCGATTCGCGACGTACATCACTGTCGTTGCCAGACAACGTGGTGACTAGACTTATTTGGTGCACACCATTACACGCATACACACATACATTGAAACCAACCAGGAAAAACGTATATTACACATAGGAGGTACAGCAGCAGCATGTGTCCCAGGGAACTAAGCCGTTCTTATGCTATGCTGTGCCTCTTATGTATGAAAGATTTCACACCTTTTTGCAGCTGTGGATGTTTCCCCGTTTGGTGCCAACCTAGACCAACACCAATTTGTGGACGCTAACCCAAAGCGCATGTGCCGGGGTTGACCAACGTTGGCGCTGAATGATCATACCATGTTGGCGCCAATGTGTATATGCAACATTAGAACTACTATATCAGGAGACGTTGGGATTGATATCTCAATATGATTGTTAATCCTGAGCCTGCCTCATGTATGCTCACGCAAAGAGGTGTGGATTCCAAGGCAGCACTTGGCAGATGGTGTAGTATCTATGGACGTTCTCTCAGGCGTAAAAGCGCATTTTAGGACCTAGTTCCAAGGCTGGACTTTTTTACCATCTCTAGATAGAAACAAACTAAGGTTGCTGGTTAGACTGCTGTCTGGCACAAAACAATCAAAGACCCCCTAAACATGTTGTGGAGGTGGGTGAAGAATCCACCTATACACGCTGTGGAGTAAAAGAGGGGTCCTCAATGCACATACTGTATCGAGGGATATTACGGTAGATGATACTAGGATTCAACACTTTGGATTCTCAGGATGTTAGATGTTGAGACCCAATGCCGTACTCAACTTATCTAGATGGGCGGGTCTTGGGGCCTGGTACTTTGGCAATGATGTGTACTGGTCTAGGTAATAAGTAATTGTGACGACTGTAGGATATTTTGAGTTTGTGGATTAACAAAATCCAATCTCCCTTTTTCTACAGGATTTAATGTAATTTGTCATGTATTTTCTAGGTAAAGATGGCTCCTCCTACATCGCAAGAGGCTGCCTACCACCAGCGACTGTAGGCTGCAGTGCCATGGCCAAAGCCATTGGCTGGATATCGAACGCAGACAGCCAAGATGGTCTAAGGAACTTGCAGTGTGACACTTGCGAAACCGACAAGTGTAATTCGGCCACCAGGATGACAGGATTCACCATTGTTGGACTTGTCATCTCCTCTTTCTTATTCATGTTCTAATTCGAACACCTATAAACTTTCTGTATGCAAATACTCGAATAGTGCTTAGAAAGTAATTTTTATACTATTTTTAAGAATATTTTTACGTGAAATGCTGGTCAGCGAACCCTTTTTAATTATTTTATTACGATCTGCTACCCTGAGCTCTTTTGGTATGAGCTACAAGGTTCTTATAAGATCCAGATTTTAGTGATTTTATACATATATACATGTGTATGCATACCTGGCCTCCTGAAAACAATTTTGTCATAACCTGATACGCAAAATATAATTGCATTTATTGGATTAATACATCAGATCATGGAAGGGTTTCATCTAAATTATACCACATTTTTCAACAATTTTTCTCTGGCATTAACACGATACTGATTTGTTGACCAGTGTTATTAGCAATCGTTTACCTCGAAAACAGCTTGCGATTCATATGCTATATCTTTTGTAATGGATGATCACATTCCAAATCTATATTAATACATTGAAAATACTTTTCTTGTGATATTTTGTGAAATATGGAAGTTTCAATAGTTTACGCAGATTGTTATAAATTCGTCAAATCCTATTATTATTTTTTTAAATCCAGCTGTAGAATTCCAACTTTATAATAAACATATTTTTGTACTCGGCTATATACTGAACACTGTAACAATTTTGGAGATGCATTTCAATATATATTTAGATGTTAACGTGGGGCCAAAGCTTTAAAATATTTCAGAGATTATAACGTGTCATAAATAGATATTATCGAATGACTTTGGCTCCTTTATGTTTTGCCAAAAATTAGAAGTGTAAGTGTGTACTTAAAATCAAACAGGAGGAAGTGGAAAAATGCATTTTTGTTCGGAATTGATGTTGTAGTTACCATGTTACAAAAAATGTGGGTACTTGGAGTGAATTATGCCTATATTAGATTTGTATTATAAAAAGGAAATCAGTTTTTAGCTACGTTAATAGCATTGCTTATGTGCCATTTTTACTTGGCTCTCTTCAAGAATAGTGATGAAGTAAAATATTGCAAAGTAAGTTTCATCTGTATAATTTAAAACCCCCTATTGCATACCTACTGATAATTAGGTCTGAAGCTTCACATCAAGAAATGTGTTCCTGTTTCCTTGTACAGAAAAATGAAAGTCCATTTCGTCCATACGTTCGTATCTAAATATATTTGGGCTTCATTCACTCCAAACTCAATACTATTGTATTTAAGTGTTGTAAAGTGTACCAATGAAGATATTCTGCGAATAAACTGCTTTAAACGTACTTTGTTTCATTTTACCAGATATGTCAGACCATTGATGATTGCCAACCAAATGCTATATTCTCGCGTCCAAAAAATTATCAGAGATAAAATAAGATACCGTAGCGTCATCTTTGAGAATTTGTTAAAGTTGTTTATCTATTTACTATATATACTCTGAAAATGGTAGTGTCTCGTAGACAAATATAACGAGCGGCTCTCAAAGACCAGCACGATCTAAAAATTAGGCACAGGGTAATGTCTCAGCGCAATGACGCTATTTTTTGTCGCTGGCCAAGTCAATTGAAGAAAACTTCTCAATCGGTGATGGAGATGGAACGATTGTAACCGACTCAACGGATAAAACGGAACTGCTTGCCAAGGCCTGTGCCGCTAACTCCACCATGTTCGTCCCGCCAACACCTGAGTGCCGTCAGTTCAAAGGATTTCGTACACTATGCGGGAAGTAACCTTCAGGCATAAGGCAGGTGCTCTTATCGCTAGACATCAACAAAGCTTCTGGTCCAGACTTGATTCCTGCCGTTGTCCTGAAGAGATGTGTAGCGAAGCTTCCTTCAGTTCTTTCGCGTCTCATATATCTGACGAATCCGATACTTTCCCAGAAAACTGGAAATATGATCATGTCCGGTCTGTCCCCAAAAAAAGATCTAAGACCGCACTGCAGTGATATAGCTTTCTTCTAGTGCTGAGTCAACGGGCTTTATTCCCCTGAGCTCTCCTTCATGATCTGCCGCGCGATACGCAGTTTCGAACTTCGTATAACCAGAACTGGTCGATGTGACCGTTCCTTTGTTCCTAGGGTATCGAGACTGTGAAACAATACGCCTGAGGGAAATTTTTCCGGTTCTACTAACCTCAGGTAGTTCAAAAAGCGAATTAACAAAGCTTCTTCAAACTCCCCATAGCAGCCACAGTGCCCTCTGGTATTTAGGCTTTTCACACTAACCGTTATAAAGAAGCAGCTGTGACAAATTTTCTACGGTATTTCATTGTGTGTCTGTATATTTTAGACGCGGGAATATAGCGTTAGGTGGCTATCTTTAGGTAGAATACGTTAACCAATGGTCAGACCGATCATATATCCTATATTCAACAATGGGCTAAATCAATTATTTGGTTGTTAAAAAAATAAAGTTACAGGAAGCTTGAAAAGGTTTTATGGATATTGATATGCTCTTTCCGAATGTTCACTGTGCTACCTCGTATCTTTTTCGCTTGAGCTACCACCAAGGACGATTTTTTCACAATATCTCCTTTCTTACTTGTTCCACGATGTAAGTAACTATGAGATAAATTAGGATAGAGACAAATTCTCCAGTTTGTGTATTTATCACTGTTTTATGATCATCAAATTTGGTAAAGGGAATGGTAAAGTGTACTCCAACTTGGAAAGCTTTAGAAACTGTTGTTTCTATGTACTTTGGCCTAGCCTTTTCGAATATATCCTTTGCAATATCGTATCGCCATATTGAAGGAATGACCAAAAACCTATTGGATCAAACTGCTATACCCACACTAGCAAAATCAACCAACTTACAAACAAATTAGTCACAGGAGGTTTTCTCTAGTTAAATTTGTCACAGAAGTTTCTTCAAAAAAATACCGGAAATAAAGTCATGGTCGAAAGATGTTTAGTTGCCAATCTTCCAACAAGGCGATACAAGCAGCAATGATATGAAATGACAAAGTAAAAATTGAGAAATTGCACCTCATAGTATGAGTAAAGGTAAGTTTTAAGGCTTCCGTATGACACTCTTAAATCATTGAATCATTGAGCGATTTCTTATAGGGCAAACTTTGCTCATAAGACGAACTTTTTCTAGTCAATTTCTCATACAGCTATTTTTATCTTAGAGGAGTCGGGGCGGAGATGTGAGGAAATTGTTTTCTAGCACTATTTTTTCAATACGGCGCGGCGTTGCGAACAGAAAAGTGACCAGGTTGCAAAAAGTAGAACGTTTTCCCTTATTAGATTAAAATTGACTGCTCACTTGCGCCGAAGCTGTTGGTCCTAAGAAAGTGTTGAATACGCAAATCTGTAGGAAACCTCTTCGCCAAACATTCCCAGATAAAGCTAGCAAATGACTGGACAACCAGGTGATGTCCAGGCACCAATCAAGAGTATCCAAACACTAACTTAGGAAAAATAACGTCACGGAATTTTTAAAATTCCAGCAATCCAATTGAATACTCCTATCCGCGCTATAAGTAGTGGCATATAGCAGTCATCGATTTTCTTACCTATATTTTCAGTAAACTCGGTGGGATGAAACTCTTAAATCGTAAATGGAATCATGAGTTATCCGATACTTCATTTTGAAGCCACCTAAGAGTACTTTATATACCTAGATACCTAGAATATAAGATCACTAACCTTCAAAATAGTGGACTGTCAGATTTTAGCGATTTTGTACATCCGCCTATAACTCAACAACTAAAAATGTCATGCATGGTTATATCAATTTTCTTTTTCTGGAAGGTTCCATCCGAAAATGTAATAAAATATAGATATACCCTATGTCAAAATCTATGTTTTAAGATTTATTTTCGTTTTTGTCATAATAGTAAAAAACTGATGCGAATATTCCATCGTCATCGTTAAATTTAAACTAACAAACAGATCTCAAACTCCTATCCGGTGGCGCACACAGCAAGCAAGCGTGAATGGGCTAGGGACTACTTAGAACACAAGTTAACGTTATATTTTTTTGACATTATATCGATTGCTCACCTAATACTCCTACTGGTCCTCACAACTCGTCTGTTTAAGACTAGAAAGTAAATAATTATCACTATCTAATACCACGCCTACACCATCAGTGAGACCCACCAGGTTTCTGATTCTAAGTACATAATTTGAATCCTATTGGGCCCTGTACATAATAATAATGAACGTCTTTATTAAATAATATATACAATACATACATATATATATATATATATATATAAAGCGTAACTGTAGTGTCGAAGTTTAGCAATATGCTATTCTAACAATAAATTAACCACTAAAGTTAAATATATCGTTGTTAACAGTTAACACAAACATACAAAAAAATATAACAAATCACATCGTGAATCAACTGGTGCTACCGCTCACTCGTTTCACAGCCAAAGATACCAATATTGTGCCCAATATGTCAGATGATTGGCCGTTTTTACTAACCTTAGAATGCATTCTTATTGGACCTAATATTATGATCCTTAGAATTCCACGCCACATATTAAACCCTTTCTTGACGAAAGATGGTATTATTAGTGGCTATACTCTCGTCGGACCATATTATTTTTGAAGGGAAATTGAAATCTTCACCCGTTTGAGTGTACAACTCACAAAAATGCTGGTGCCGGTCGCTATACCTGGTCCAAGTCCTTGAATTTCTAGAGCTGATATATATTTATAAGCAAAATAAATTGGGCTGTGGATTTGGCTACTCCTACATGTTTCTCAATTTGCCTAGTTGATATCTCAGAGTTCTCAGCAACTGCTTGTAAAACACTATTCTTGAGCTTCTAAAGATTCCTTTTTTCGAGACATAACAGGCTTTTTGAATGAATCATACTCATTTAAATTTTGAGGCGATACCAACATCGGTGCAGGCATCGGTGACTCCTTTTCAGAAGATTCTTCTACGGAAGACTCTTCAGATGAATCTCAGCATAGCACATCAATGGAATCCTCTGAGATTCCGTTTTGCACACCAGGAGAGCTCCAAGGCCACATTAAGGACCTAAAGGTGCGTAAAGCACCTGGAGAGGATCAAATCTCCAACAGAGCACTGAAGTTGCTTTCACTCAAGTCTTTGACTTATCTGGTGGCAATAATCAATGCAATGCTCAGAACTCATTACTTTCCTAATGCGTGGAAGGTCGCTGAAGTCATCATAATCCCAAAGAAGGCAGGTTCGATATTCCCCCAGGATTACCGTCCCATTAGTCTGCTGTCAGCTCCTTCTAAGCTCACTGAAAAGGTGATTTATCGTCACATTGTGAATTTCTCGTCAGATCACCATGTGATTCCTGACGTGCAATTCGGTCTGAGCATGGTACGGAGCTACAGGCGGTTAGTCTGGTGGAGCATGTAACCAGGGGGTACACCCTGAACAAAAGTACTGGTATCTTGCTTTTAGATGTATCAAAGGCATTTGACAATGTGTGGCATATGGGCCTCTTGTATAAGCTCATCCAAAAGGGTTTTCCATTTTGGCGACTAAAACTGTTGAAATCCTTTCTAGAAGGAAGGAAGTTTCGGATCAAAATTAACAATTTGTAGTTCCTTTATTCACTTTATATACATGACGTCCCTTGCCCCAGCAACTGTGAAGTCTATCTCTATGCTGACGACACTGCATTGCTAGCCCAGTCTTGTTCTGGTAACCTGGTTCACGACAGGCTTCTGAGTGCGTTGGAGGAAGTATTGGAGTGGGCGGATCGTTGGTTGATCAAAATTAATACTTCGAAAATGCAGGAAATCTATTGTACTAAAAAACGTCGCGGTGCCCCCTCAGAGATATCAGTGAATGAAACTCGTATACCATGGGAGCAATCTGTCAGGTATCTTGGAGTCAACATTGACAAGGGATTGTCCTGGCAGAAACATACTGATATTTTGAAAAAAAAATTCCAAATTACCTTTCGGCAGCTTTATCCTGTGTTCTGCAGATATTCAAAATTAAGTTTGATCAACAAGATTCGGTTATATAAAATGGTCATAAGACCCGCAATCACCTACGTATGCGCGGCTTGGTGTTTTCTTGCCAAGACGCACATGCAGAGACTGCAAGTCCTGCAAAACAGAACCCTACGCACAATTACTAACGCTTCTTGGTACGTGTCAAATGAGACTATTCACAGAGATCCTGATATCCCATATTTAAGGGATTACGTAAAACAACAGGCGCAGCGGCGTTATAATCAAGCGGAATCGCACAGCAACCCTCTGTTGCGTGATTCAGTAGACTACACAGTCGAGCAAGTTCGCAAACATTCCAGGCCGCGCCTCGCA